TTGAACTTTCAGTGACTTCCTGTGCGTCGCCTGCAGAGGGCAGGGACGTCCTGCTAGCTAGCTTTATGGAGCTGCTTAGAAACCAGGACAGCCAATTTCTTGAAATAACCAGTTAAAATGAAAAGGAGATTGGAAGCGGACTGCATACCTGCCTGAAGGAACCATTAAAATGTATAAGAACGCGAACATTTTTCAGGGAGGCTCTGCTGAGGATTACTTGCAGCTGGGGAATTCCACATACCACTCCATCAATCATCCCCGCTCATACCAAGCTGGTACAGAGGGAGAAGGAGAGGCGAAATAGTTTCATTCATTCTGGTGATAACGTGACTCTGGCGTTCACATGTTTTCTGCTTTGAGTGAGGAATGGGCTCATCAGCCAGCTACGTCTGGACGACATGATTACTATGCTGGCATCAGGCTATCCAACCTCAGGAGCCAGGTAGCTTCGACAGTTGAATCAAATGAGACATTGACAGACACAGCTGCCTTTTGCAGCATGCAATGTTGTTTATTCTGTTGGTGGACACAGGGCAAGGACACTAGCCACTGATTGTTTACTGCTGAAGACCGGCCCTAATTTTGCTTGGATACATTTAGAACACACGATGCAACAGAACAGCACGCCACACACAGATAATAGGTGTAACGTTCTCCGTTTCGTTCCGAAACCGTACGGCTCCGTTCATGCCAGTCACACAGCGAATACGCCTTTTTTTCATGGTGCGAAAAAGAGTCTGTCACTCTAGGCGCAGTACCACGACACGCTATATATCAGGGGGCGTACTGCCCGCCTAAAAGCTGTTCTTGCCAGCCGCCTGTAAACAACAAATGAAAGCAACAAGAAAGATAAAACACAACAAAACTAACAAGATACAAGAAGAAGACAGTTAGTATGGTGATTGCAGATAACACACAGGAGCTAGAAGTAACCACCTGCTTCAGCTGTTGCTGGGAAAATTTTTCGGGTTCCCTTGTGGACTACAACAACAATGGAGTGCGAGTGGTCTATCGGACGAGGACGGTGTGTTGGCGTTGTTAGATAGCGGTGCGGTATGCTTAACGCAAATGGCAACACACGCCTAACATGCTAAATCATATCAGAAGGCATCACCCAGATTTGCCAATCACCGGAGCCCGGCAAAAGACAACAGCAGTTCATTAGCTGATCCCCGCTGTTTTTAAGAAGCCAATAAGTTTGACATCAGCCATTAGGCTATGGATAATATGGCCATCTGAGTGTGTGTGCTGTTTGTGTTTTTTTTTTAACTGTGTAATACAGTTAATTATTCAAAATGTTAGAGTTCCTTATTTGTATACTGAAACTTGCACTACTTTTCAAAAATAAATAACTACAAACCTGGAATTATGCATTTGGTACTTTTTTTTGCTTTTTCTTGTTGTACCGAACATGTACCGAACCGTGACTCCCAAACCGAGGTACATACCGAACCCTGAATTATGTGAACCGTTACACCCCTAACAGATAACCAGATAAAGATGTTTCAAACATGGCCTCTGCACATCTCTGCACGTGTTGCTAAGGGGGAGCCCATGAGACCAGGATTGATATTCTCCTTCCCTCTATGACATACACTCATCTGTAACAGTGGTCGGATCACTTCGTCTCACTGGAGCTGCGGGCATGCCTCTTCTCCACAATCAGTTGTATCCATTTGTTGGTATTGGGGGGGGGGGTTGCATTGTTGCATTCTAAGAAGAGACGGTCAACAGGAAACCAGCAGAAGAGAGAAGGGGTCCCTGCTTTCATTACAATAAAATACTGCAGCAACCACAATAAAGACAGCAAAGAGCTTCCCTTCATTATTAAGGACAAACCTTTGTACAACTTGGGTCATATTTTTATAGTAATGGCCATCCTTCCTATTAAATAATAACAACAAAATCCCCAAAACAGTAATGAGTCCTAACCCCTTAATGAGTCAGCATTTAAGCACTTCTGGTTAGCTCATCTTGAAGTCAATGTTTTTTTGATTAGATTCCCCACATAAGGTCTGTGTCTAATAAAAGCTGAAGAGATATTGTTACACAACATAAAATGCATCAGTAAATACCCCACTGGTGAATGTCTAAAGCTTTTACATGTCATAAATTCTGCGATTGCTAATTAGCGTTTAAATGAAGCTACTAAACGCCATTACGCCGAACATTAGCAACCTTTAGCTTAGCGCCGTTGGCGTGAAGTCATGTGTTCATGATGTAGTTAATTTATAGCTACGTATTTGACTTCTAGCGATAGCATTTTTGTTTCAACTATTATAATGTTAATATGTGGAGATAATCCTGCTACACAAAATGTCCAAGTATCATAAACGTGTGCTTGTGAAAGAGCTTATTTTAAATATACGTCATGCCTGCACTACTCTATAGCTGAACACAGTCACAGTCCCTCTATGTAGAATAGTAATGGTTTATAACTATAATGTATTTGCACACAGCAATAAGTGGTGACTGATGTACAGTATTGTTCACTAGTTTTGATTTTGGTATCACTTTTTATGACGTCCATGTTTATAAAGCTTGTTTTGTTCATTCATTGACATTTTTTGCTGAAGGGTCATAGTGTATAATAATTCCCATATTTGTAATACATTAAAATCAGGGTTTTCAGGCACATTATAATGCAACAGGGAATGCATAATAAAAAGATCCTCATCGCATTAAATGGGAATTATAACACAATATAAACAAATGTCAGTAATGTCAAGTATGAAACTTTTTACAACCGTGCACAGCTATATTGCCATTCATTAGGTTTGTTCAGCGGCTTCACCTTTTGGGGGCCCACAGGGGCAGTAAATGCATAATAAAACACTAAATCTGCAAACATAAACAATATAGTTTGTTATAAACCCTCCATTAAATGTTTAAATAGTTTTGCCTAGTGCTGGATGTGTTGTTTGGTTGAAGCTGTGGCTCTGCACGGCATTACTCTCATTTTCAGAATTCTTTCACAGTTTGCAGTAGACAAACATTTTATTTAATCTCTCTTTATTCACATATGTTTTAGTTTTGACCATTTAAGATGAATCGATCATGGGGAAACTCTTTGTATACAAAGAGTACCACAGAACTAAAACGTAGTTAATGAAGCAATATAGCAAATTAATAAACATAACTGCAAAACACGTGAAGGTTGTTCCCAAGGTTACCACAGAAACAATGGCCAAGCCTAAGAAAACAAGGCCCAAGCTATAATAAACTGAATGATCCTTTTATTATCACTTCTTATACACATAAACCCCACAATGACATTCATCTGCATAAGTATTAAGATGTAACATACTGTACATCACTGCCATGCATTGCATTTGGAGTATGGGACCTCGTCTGAGGAAAACAATTTCCATTGTAATATACCAGTTGCATTTGTGAATAGCTGTCAGCACTTTATGGACTCAGGTCCAGGTAGTTTGGTTCAGAGTTGTTAGCACAGTGAAACCCATCGCGCTTCTATCTCTGCTGCACACTGTGTCCTAGAAACTGTCAAACACAGCTCTGTTTTGAGAAACAAGTTTCTGGCATTGCTGCCAACCCCATATTGCAGAAGTAAACGGCGTGTCAAACCTTTTTGCTCATCTGTGACAGTGCAGAGCCTGCATTGTTCCTTTAATTATATAAAACATCTGACGAATCAGATTGGAAGCCAAGCACAGACTGTAACCTCTGCATATCATTATTCCACTAAAGATTGCGAAAGTGCTCTAGTTTTGGAAGATCCTGTGAGAAATACTGTACTCTATATGATCCAGGGCTCAGTGTCTCTGCCCCAACCAAAATATAGAATCCACAGGAAGATGTCATGATGGTTGCAAGGGTGTTTGTATCCAGAGTTCACCATAAAAAGCTGCCAATCATTGGAAAGGCCCAGATCCAAAACTCTTATCCCACTGCACACACTGCTGCTCCAGCTGCCCCAGCAGCCGGAACACCGAGTCTTCCTTGTTCTCCAGCTTCAGGTACCGCCTCCCGCCACTCAGGTCCAGCCGAGGCCAGCTCCGGCGAGTTTGCTTCTCTGCGGCATCCACAACTGCCCAAGGGATGTTCACGCAAACATCTGAGGAAGCCTCTCTACCTGAGACCACCTGCTGATTTATCTCCCCCTCCTCTCCACTCTCCAGACGCACAGGTGGAGCTGTGTACAGGTTAGTCCTGTAGCTGATACTTTGGCAGCGCCTCGGCTGTGCGGCGTGGTGTTCCATCTCGTCCAGGGTGGACATGGAGCTGGCCGACTGCAAGAAGTTGTTGACGAGCGGGCGAGTGAAGCTGGCACCGTCATCAGCTCCGAACTGCGTGTTCAAATCAGTCTGACTGGAGTTACAGGAGTTAGAGGAGGAGGAGTGGAGGGAAGACGGAGACTCTGACTCCTGGTGGTGGAGGGCTTCTGTCTGGAGCACGGCCTGCTGCTGGTAGATGCCCTCTGCCTGGTCCTCCTGCTCTGCGGGGGGTCTTGTGCGCAGCAGGGGCTCGGCGCTGGTGATCTGCTGCACACAGAGGATGTTGAGGTGGGCGGCGGGTAAACTGCTCAGCCACTCGTAGTGTCTGGACATGTTGGCTACAGCAATGTCTTTGAGGTCCGCCGAGGGGACAACCGCGGACACGGAGCAGATCACGCTGTGCATCTGAGCCAGCAACATCTGCGTCTCCCTGTCCCGGTTCTCGTACAGGACAGTGTTGGCACATATGAGGATGAAGAGGCCCACTCCCATGATGACGGGCCCCAGCAGCTTCATCCGTTCACTGTGGATGAAGCTGGCTGTGGAGAGGAGGCTCTTTGCTCCCATACTCCAGCCGGAACTCTGCGACTCAGAGATACCGTCCCCCTCAGCGGCTCCCAGGAGCGGCGCCCTGGATATCCGGTAGGGCCAGTACCCCGCCACAGCCAGGGCCGTGCCAACAACCACCACAATGACCCCCAGCACCAGGAAGGCTCCGGGAATGGAGCGGATGCGAAGCTTGCCTCGGATCACCCCGTCCTTCTTCTTTTTGCTGCGTAGGGTGAAGCGGCGCTTGCGTGGGCAGGGAGAAGTTGGTAGGACACCTTGGGCCTTCTGGGACTTCATGATCGGGTCAGTCCAGAGATTCTGCTGCACCCCGGTCAGATGCCTAGGGAGAGAGGACATGTCATTGGTTAATGCAGGTCTGACATCTAAAGATACACAATCAGTTGTTAAATGGCTAATGGATAAAATAAATGTGATATGTAGAATTATTACCTGACTACACCAGAATCAGAATCAGTTTTATTTCCAAGTATGTTTACACATACGAGGAATTTGCTTTGATGTAAATGGCAGAAGGGGGAGAAGTACTCAGATGTTATACTTAGGTAAAAATAATAATAAGTTGTAGGAATACTCTATTGCAAGTAAGTCCAAGTCCTGTATTCAACATTTTACAGAACCAAATATAAAAGTACTCATTATACAAAGTGGCTATTTTCCAAATAATATACATTATTACACTGTTTTATATTTAGTGATGCATTCATGTGTCTAAAGTTTTAATTTTGCAGCAGTAAGTTATGAGAATGAATAGTTATACTGCCAGGTTTCTCCATTCAAAATATTACATCATAATGAATTAGTTGATTTCATTTTTGTTTAAATAATATGAACCTGCAAAAGTCACTAGAAACCAATGTTGTCAAAAAAATGTCGAGTAGAAGTATAAAGTAGCATAAAAAGAAAATACTAAAGTACAAGTACCTCAAATATGTAATCAAGTACGGTGTACATGTTCTTAGTTATTTTTCACCTCTGGTAAATTGGGCAAACAAAGACACAGCAAGAAGAATATGTTTGTTTAAAGAAAGGAGCCAAACATTGTACGAATATAAAAGTTATTTTGAAAACAATTTTAAAGACTAAAAAGAACAAATGAAGACAATATATACACAAAATATAAATATGTAAGAGTACTGTAAAGTAAAGTTATTATGGGAAGATTGACGGTTCGATCCCTATCTCCGTTTGTGTGCATGAAGAAGTGTCCTTGGGCAAGTTAGTGGACCCCGAATAACTCCTGAACAGGTATCAGTGTGTAAGACTTATTGAGCTTTGGATCGAACTAAACGGGGATCGAACCGCTGCTCTTCATATTGGTTTGAAACCTGCCCTCCCTTTGCAGCAGCACAGATACGCAGATGAACTATGAGCAGTTTGTATTGCAGTAATGCCATCAGTGTATACATGTGTGTGTGAATTAGGCTTGGGCGGTATCATTTTTTTCATACCGTCATACCTTGTTGACATCATACCGTGGTATACGGTATATGACGGTATGACTTGGGTCCACTTGAGTGAGGTGGCGTTCGGCGGCAAATATTTGTTTCGAACGGTATATTATATGTTCGGTGTAAAATGCAGCCCGAGCCGGTAGACGCTCGCAAAGTGCCGCGACGTGCGCGCAAGTGCAAAACAAGGCCTGCATACATGACACATTGTGCAAATGGCACATTTTGAGATCGGATACAGGACGCGTTTGTAGATGTCCGACGTTGTTTCCATTCTGAGCTAAGTTAACAATATATCATCATACATAAACATTTTCCGGGAGTAAATACTTCACTTATTGAATAAAGTTTGCTATATTCACTAACTAGTTTGGCAATATTATTCCGTGCATGTGTTAAAAACCTTATTTCCATTTGATTCATTGGATTACTCGCGTGAATGTTTAGCACGTAAATTCTTTAGTTTTTAAAACCGTCCGACCTCCACTACAAAACCATCAACCAGTTGCATAGGATTAAAAAATGTCAACACTCACTCACCCCGTCTTAAACATTCCCAAAGAAGTGCCTCTGTCTCTCGTTGTGCTGGATGAAGTCACTGGCGACGAGTAAACCCAAAATAGTCCCAAACAGGCGCAGAGGCATTTTTCTTTTTTACTAGTTGTCCGAGTTCGGGGCCGGCAAATGCTGCCGCCATCTTGCTCAGCTCAGCTCTGTGCTGAGCTCTGAGAGCGGGAAAGACGGACTGCCCTCCCCTGCCCTCTGCTGGCGCGTGCTGTGCATTACAACCAATGTCGTCCCTGTCAAGACTCCGTGTCAGTGTAATAGAATGAAACGCATCTGTGATTTGGCGCACAGTCTGTGACGTCACGGTATTGAAAATCATACCGACGGGATTTCGAAATACCCTGGTATACCGTAATACCGTCATACCGCCCAAGCCTAATTTGCACTCCTTTTGTCTGTTATTCTTACTGAAAATGTTAAATTACACATTCACATCTGACTGAAGATTGGCACCACTTATTTGTGACGTTGCAAACTCTGCGGTACAAGGCACAAGTATTGTGAAGCTCATAAAGTGAGGCAAATGCATTTGATCAGCTGACTTTATAGACCTGACAATAATCCAACCCATTCTCACAAAAAAACATGTAATAACTACGTTGGTCCACAACGTGGGACGTAGTATTTCTACAAAAACGCTTCTGAAATGGTAAGATCCCTACGTTTTTTTTCACCATTCATTCCAATGGCTGGCACGTGTGAAAATAAATGTAAGATGTTGTTTAATTGGTGCTGCCTGTGTATTATGAGTTAGTTTCGACCTAATGTCTATTTCCTGGCACTATTAGGTCGTTAAAGAATTCATATTGTTATCTTTCTAAGTTCTGACAAAAAATTTTCTTCTGATTTTTCACAAACGTATTCTTCAGGACATTGGGTGGGTGTACATTGAAATGTAGACAAACAAGTTTCAAAGAAGAGGAATTCCACTACTGGGGTCTCCTCCTCCTGTCCTAGACCTGAGGATTTGTCGTCTTTGAAGTCGTGTCTAAGGCTTGTCGATTATTTATTGAAAAAGTATTAAATGTTTACGTATTTCATTTACTGAGATTATGTGACTATATGTACGGTATTTTGTACGTGATTATATCTAGGGTGTGTAGGTCACTTACCAAACTCAACATGAAAGAATCGGTTTCCAATGAGAATGAAAATGGGTTTCGTTGTAAATTGAAAAAAACCAAGTTTGAAAGTGTAAGGTTACATAATTCCCCGTTTAATAATAACTTGTATCACTCTGCGCCTGGGAACAGAGACCGTATAACGACATTTTTTTTGTACAATTTTCACTAAAGAAAGTCACTCTGTTTAGTTGGTTCGGTGTTCGAAGATGCTGTTCAACGTGAATTCAAAACTATTGGTCAATTTATAATAAAATTATTAAAGTAAATAAAGTAACAACTACTTAAATCTTGCAAAATAAGTATAAGACTAAAATAGAAAACACATGTGCCAACTAAATTTTTTGTGTAAGTTATTTTTTTAGTAATATTAAATATCGGGGACTTTTTGTCGTGTGGAGATAGAATTCCAATTGGATAGTACGTTTTACGTAAACATGCAGAAAATTATGTACTTATACACCAGGGCCACAAGGTTCCCTTAGTGGTTCACAGTCCTTTTGTGTTGGGAGAGATAAAGGAGTATTGGGTTTAGAGAATTTTTCCCCGCGTTGCTAGACTATGGGTCTTGAACTAGGTCTAAACTTGTATAGATAACTGCAAGTGTCTTCACCCCGCGATGCCCCCGAATAACCCCCATTGAGTGGTTAGTCCTCCTCTGCGTTCCCTGTAACGGCAGAGCCCTTTCGCGACCTCCTGCGACAGATCATGTAATACGGTCCGGATATCTACCATCGACAAGAGTGTCTTAGTAAGTCGGTTCTGTCACAATTTACCGCTTTACCCTTACCGAATTTTAGTACTAGACAAACCAATAAAAACCTTTTTATTTTTTCATATTTAATACCGAATATATCCATACCAGATGTGATATAATAAGTTTATATCGTACCTATCCAGGTGAATTTATTGTGTTGAACGAGACGTTATTATAAAAAACTATAAAGACACTCCTTTCCTGTACGGACTCTCTGTCCCTGACCGAAGCGGGGTAAAAGAAAAAGAGACTCCCAAGGTCCCTTGATGAAGTCCTTTAACACAGATTGTTGCAAAAGTACAGGTCCACCAACGATCCCTGCGACGAATAGCTATAATAAAGACAATACAACACATTGACAAATATTACCACCAATAGAAATAACTGATGGCGAAGGGGCAGTAAATATCACAACCACGTGTCGCGTTGCATAATCAAATTGGTTTAGGCGTAGATTTTACCACGGTATCTATGCAATATTAGGGGACCACGTAAGGTCCAGAGTGTACAGTTGTAGTGTGCAAGTATTCTTTTATGGCCTTTGTCCTGGCTTTTGTGAAATAAGGCTCACACGAACGAAAAGAGAAACCTCCAGTAGTGTATTGGCCGTAACCCATTATGTGCCAAGACGACGTAATTTTACAATGTATAGACGAACATTAAGACATAAATATCTCGGGAACTACTCTTCCTGAAGATCTGGTTTGTACTCCTTGACGGCCGGTTGTGACTTTTGCACTGGCACCTAGTATTT